CATTAAAGACGTGATCTGACCGTATAGACCTTCTATTTCATTGAGCCATTAATTAAAGAAGAAAAAGAGAAATGTCTGACAATAAGCTAAATATTGTAGAAGCGGACATAACTCGCCACACATTGGTAACAAGAGAGAACGGAGAGATTATCCGTGCTGATGGGCATATTGTAGTGTTCGACAATATTGGTAAGTACATGATGATTAAATGTTGTAAACAGAAACTATGAGAGAGACTCTTAAGTCAATTCTCTTATCACAATTTTCTGTTTTTAATAATCTTTTTCTTTAATAGATAACAATATGTACTGCGTTCTCGAAAATGAGAAAAATCTTCGGCTTTTCGGTCTTATACCAGCTACATTACAGCTTGATGATACAGGTATATATTAAATTTTAATCATAGAGTCAAAAATAGTGTGATTACTGATCTAATAACCGAGAGAACTTTTATTGTTCTTGTATGTTGCAGTTTCTGAATTAAGCATTTCGTCATCGGAGACCTCATGTTCACCCATTGTAACATGTTTACCAGAAGCAGAAATTGTGAAGAAAACAACCAAAGAAAAAGGTAAGAATGAGTTGTTATAGACCTAGTTTACACTCAGCCGTCCAATCCCGATTCACTTCAAAGTGAAGTGAAATTTCTTGGGTGTAAACGGATTAGTTTCGACTGATTTCAATCCTCTTTTCTCAGCGGAGTAGAGCAAATCCGGTGTAAACATTCCATAAAACCACTTCACTTCGAAGTGAATCAGGATTGGACGGCTGGGTGTAAACTAGGTCATAGGCTGTGTTCCAAATTTACTATCAGCTAAAAATTTACAGTTTACGTTATGTGCACTATAGATTTTCAATATTAGCAGTTTTTTTCAATTTTGAAACAGTTATAGTAATGATGAGTCAGTAAAACTACGCATAATTATAATTATATACTCTTAATCTATATATGTTTCAGTTAAGTGGACTAAGAATGCTGTTCTAGCACTAATCACATCCTGGAAAGCTAATCAGCCAAAATTCCAGAACAGTACTATAAGGAACGATGTAGTATGGAATATAATTGCCCAGGATGTCAAAGAAACAGGACTCATAGTTAATGCCATTCATACCGAAAACAAGTGGAAAAATATAAGGAAAGCGTACATGGCTGTTAAGGACCATAATTCTAAATCTGGGAATGCTCCGAAAACATGTTCATTCTACAATGAATTGGATGAAATATTTCATAAATCACCAAGTGTCACACCTGTCGCTCTTGCCTCATCGAGAACAAAGAGAGCCATAGAAAAGGATACTACTGATGATGAGACTTTTGATGAGATGGATACTGACTGTGAAAAAATAAATAGTAAAAAGATAAAGAAGAGTAAATTGAATAGAGAATTAGAGGCTTGGTCTAAAACTCTTCGTGAGGATGCGGAGAAAAGAGAATTAGCAAGGGAAAGGCGACATGAGGCAGTGATCGCTGTACAAAATAAAGGAATTGCAGCATTCACTGATGTTATGAATAAACTTCTAGAAAAGCTGTAAATCATTTGCATTATTTGCTTGTAAAGTTTGCAAATGTATGTCCAAGATGTGTTCTGTTTCTTATTTTATAAGAACATACACATACACACATTAGAACACAATTTTAGCAAACTGGTTATAAGAAAGTAACGATTTTTCATAATTTTATGTGTTCATTTTATACTTAATATCATACATGTGATTATAGTTATCCAAAGATATTTTTTTAAGTGCATTGTTTTGTAGTAACATAAGATAGAGAGAGAGAATATTTTCAAATTTATTTTAGCATTAGTATCATCTTTCTTGTTCAAATATACCAGCTCAGTATTAATATGTTTTTATTTATAAGACTACCTATAAGCTGGATTCCTCAAATATATGTGTGCTAAGTATGGATGTTTTGTTTTTTAATTATATAATACAATCTCTTATTATACAATCTCTTAAGTGCATTACTTCTTATGATTGATAATTATACAAGATGTTTGTACAATAAAAAAGTTTTATATTTATTTATGAAATTATTTATTCAATCTTAGTCATATTGCATTTACAGATAAGACTTATAGATTATTTCTTTCGAAAATATGTACAAGATAGGCTCTCTTGGCTTCACCCTCCTGCTGTAAGCCTATATCATCATCATCATCATTATTCTCCCGTACTAGTCTTCTTACATTTTGAAAACCTTCTTCAATGAAATCATCAACATTATCTTCTTCTAAATGGTTCTCTTCAAGCCCATGTAGACAAATATTGTGCAACACACAACACGCAAGAATGAAACTTGGAATTAGGTCTATTCTTTTCATATCTAAATGTTTCAATCGTCGAAATCTTCCTTTCAGCAGTGCAAAACAACGTTCAATGACTTGTCTTGTCCGCGACAGTACTGAATTGAAGTGTTTCTGTGCCTGAAAAAGAAAATTTATAGAGTTAAGAATTCAGAAATGCATGTCATTGCAGATAAGAACACGAAATAAGGCAACAGCGATAAATTTTCGAAAATCAAAATTTTGTATCATATATATTTTATATTAAACAACATTAAATCTTATAAGACCATATATATGAGAAACACAAACAATAATAGAATAACGCCTTTAACGGTCAGAGCTGGATCTTAGTTGCTATTATAATTTCGCGTGAATTTATGTACCATGTATGTAGTCCCCCCATTCTTATAAATTATATATTACTATACTATTCCTATCGCGCGCTAGATGCATAGCTGCTGAGTGTACAGATAGCTTTGTTTTACAAATTCAAAATAATTTGACAATAAAATTTACTCGTGTTAAGCGGCCATTGTCAATGTATGGAGGAATGCACCATGACAATACAGGATATGCC